CATGAACCTACTACTCAAGATCGCCTGTTTGTAGATGTGTGGTCCAGTAGTTGAAGTCGTTCCACATCACTTCGCTGTCTAGCTTGTTCCCCTGATCGTCATAAAAGTTGTTATCGTCATCCAGTCTCACAAACTTCAACACCTTGCCATCGTCGACAGTCTGCTTGGTGTCACAATCCGCAGCGCACTTCCTCTTTAGATCCGGTGGAGGAGTAGGAATGACCAGAGTGGACTTTGTCGACAAGCCGGAAATACAGTTGAACATCAGCCTCTTGATCTCGGACGACTCTTTAAACACAGAAACAATCGCGTCCCTGGAGACCTTTGGTCTCCATCTGCTCAATGGGTCATCCTTTGACACTGGGGACTGTTTTGGTGAGGTCAAATAAGCGGAGGAAGTCGTAGCAGCAACGGTGGAAGCACCCTTTGCAGTGGTAGATCCAGGGGTCTTGGAAGCGTTGGAAAATGTCAACGGTGTTTGCAAAATGGCCGAAGGTGTTAAGCCCTTCTGGAACGGGGAGTCCTTCAAATCGCCAACAGACTTCAACTTGGAATCAACAAGTTTTGCCTCCTCATCACTCAACTCCAAGAGATTGGCCAGAGCAAGGGCAAAGGAATCTACTGGTCTCGTCAACCAAATGTCATATCTCCTCTGCTTGTAATCGTTGAAGGACTTCATAGAAGCAGCCTCCTTGGACTGTATCTCTTGCTCTTTCTTCAGCAACTGAGCTTGTACAGAGCCATCTTTCACTTGTGATGCGCCCTGAATAGGTGCCTGCGAAGCCGGAGTGCTTTGTGATGGTTTTGGAGAAATCGCAGACTTTGGGCCACTTGCTGGTGTAGAAGCAGCTGATGTGTTCTTCTTCGTAGAACTCTTGGATTTGCGCTTTGCCGGGGCCTTTTTAGGAAATGTGACAGGTGGTACAGTGACAGGACCGCCTGGTTGAATTGGTTGTGGTACACGGCCTTGAACAGTTGGCGTCTTTGCAAAGTTCGCTGGTTGGAGTGGTGGTTGTGGTTTCTGTTGCTGGAAAGTCGCAGCAGATCCAAGTTGTGGAGAATTAGAGAAATTGGCAGAAGGTGGGAAACTGGCATTCGGCATAGCAGGTGATGAGTTAAGCCTGTTGATGTTGGCCAATTCCGGTGAGAAGAGTTTACCACTCAACGAATTCACATCAACACCAGCATTAAAGTTTTCACTATTGGTCATCTGCATGTCCATACCACTAATTGTTGTGTTCAAATTCTGAGCCTGTGAGCCTGGTTGATAGTTCAACTGTTGCTGCTGTTGCTGTTGTAACAACTGCTGAGGAGTAATATTCTGCCTATTCATCTGCTGCTGGTTTCTCTGTAACAACTGCTGAGGAGTAATATTAGGACTGAGATTCTTCATGGCACCAGCAGCATTGTTACCCCAAGCATTCATAATAGGTGATTGCTGTGGAATCATTGACGGTTGTTGTTGCATTGTTGCTTGTGTTGGGGGTTGAGATTGTGGCATCATTTGCTGTGGTTGAGGTTGAGGCTGTTGTTGTGACTGCTGCTGAGAAGCCATAGCCATTTGTCCAGACTTCCTCTTAATTTGCTCCTTGACAAACTCCACATATTTCTGCGATTGAGTCTTCACCTTTTCCAGCAGATCTGGACTAGCGTAGTACTCACCTCTTCTCAGCCCATCCAATACTTCCTTCACCATAAAACGCATATGAAGTAACTTCTTCGTGCCATCAACATTTTTCGTCAAGGTATAGAACGTTGGTACCAGTTGCTCAATCAAGTTAAACAACGGAAGTAATAAACTCTGCACTTTTGAACTCACAATCTGTTTCTGTTCTGTGTTCAACTGGTTCGTTAAGTTTTGTAACTTTATCGGAACCTTCGAGACTTCGTTCAAGATCATCCTCAAATCCACACGATCCTTCTCTGTGGGAACCATAAAGCTTCTGTGAGAACTTGGATCAGCAGCCCTTTGTTGGGTTCTTTGTTGTTGAAGTGGCTGTTGAGGTTGAGACAGTTGTGTCTGTTGAGGCTGAGGTTGAATCTGCTGAGTCCCTTGTTGACGAGTATTATTAGCAGCTTGTTGTGCTTGACTCTGTCTCTGAAACTGCTGCTGTTGCTGTTGCTTTTGTTGCAGTAAAGTCAATCTCCTAGCATTCAACTGCTGCTGTGTTAAGTTGGAGTCTAATGTGTTGGTTGTGTTGTTAGCATTGACGTTATTAGCATTGACGTTGTTCCAATTTTGCTGTGGTATTTGATTCTGTTTCACCTGTGTTTGTGTCTGCATTGGTTGTTGTTTAGCACCATTAAACTGATTAGAAAGCTGATTCTGGCCACCAACAAATGTCTGCTGCTGTTGTTGTTGCTGCTGTTGTTGTCGTTGTTGCATGTTATTCAATGCCTCCGCTCTTAACTGCTGTTGACGTGCAATATATCTCTTAATAAAAACATTTCTTTGTTCATCAGTTAAAGTAGGTGGCAGGTGCTTTTCATTCTGTAATTTCGTCATCAATTGCAACGCACTCTGTGTTAGTCGTTGTAACTCTTGAGGTGTGAGCTGTTGTTGTACATTAATTGGAATTTGACCCATGTTACCCTGTTGGTTTTGTTGATCCTGAAGTTGAATCTGTTGTTTCTGCTGCTGTGGTTGTTGTACAGTTTGTTTTGATTGTGATTGTTGACCGCCAACTGTTGTCTTTTGCTGCTGCTGCTGCTGTTGTTGCTGTTGCTGCTGCTGTAATTGCCTGGTTCTCAACTCTTGTTGAAGTCTAAGTTGTTCACCCAAATCGGCAGTATTCTGTTGACCATTATTCTGCAAATGTTGATTGTTCAGCTGCGATGCCTGTTGAATCTTCTGGGCATGTTGCTTCTGGAGCATTTGAAGATGTACACTGTACGCTTGTCTAATAATTGGTGCATAGCTCTGATTTAACTGCCCGCTTGTCATCAATCCAAAGATCTGTGTCCACGTATTCACATTCGGAGGCAAATTTGGAATTCTCTGCAAAAGAACAGAAGGAATTGGTGTAGTCTTCATCAATTGACTCAACATTTGGGTATCCATTGTAGTAGACTGTTGTGTCTGCTGTGTCATATTCATCCCATTCTGCGAGTTGCCCTGAGGATTAGCTTGTTGGTTAACCATACCACTGAAGTTATTACCATTATTTGAGACAAAGTTACCCCGAATAGCTTGATTCTGCTGCTGCTGTTGCTGTGCCTGAGACTGTTTCTGCTGTTGTTGTTGCTGCTGCTGCTGCTGGTTACGCAGCTGCTGCGCAGCTTGCTGTCTAGCTTGGGCCTGCTGAGCGAGGAATATTTGACTTGGGTTTGTAGGGCGAGACTGCTGCTGCTGTTGTTGTGATTGTTGTGGTTGATTTTGAGACATTTGTGATTGCTGTTGTTGAGGCTGTTGCCCTTGGTTCATCCCAAGATTCCCAAGATTGCCACCTTGTTGCTGCTGTTGCTGTTGTTGTCTCAGCTTCTGTGACTGTGTGGAACTCTTGATGCTCAGCACCTTCTGACGGAAGAAATCTATATAGCTCGCCTTCGACGTTGCGTTCTGGAAACAGTACTTCTCAAACTCCTCGGCGCTTTGCTTCAACTTGTTCATATCCAGCCCAGCAGGGTTATTCGTAGTCACAGCGAGCTCCTTGAGCGACTGGATCAGCACCGCGACGTATCTCAGTCGCTCCTGGTTGGTCAGCTCTTGTTGCCAGTTCATTGTTATGGGTCGCTAGTACCTCAGTATCAACAATGAAATCAATCCGAGAGGATTGCGAGAGAGGAAAAATCAACTATAGGAAAACACACAAAGAAAAAAGACAGCGCCTCTGTAATCAGTGGAATAGCAACCTTAGGTGTAGTAGACAGAGTTGATCGAGCTGCTTAGCACAGATGTCTCTTCCCTTTTTCCCTGTTCTAGCAAAACACCCCTTGTTTTGTAGTGAATGTTGGACTTAATGTCTCAATGTTTATTTTTCTTAGGTGATTTTCTTTTTGTGGTTGTGTGTGTGTACTTTTTTCTCTTTCGCCCATTTT